AGGCCTGCTTGCCTTATTTCTACATTTTTGTACCTGGTACTTATTTGCATAAGTAGATAAGTTTGCTTTGACTCCTTCCAGGAGTCCTTTAATCACTAATAACCCTGCCAGGTACAGTCCTTGGAGAATTTTAGATGAGGCAAAAAAACAAAAGCCCAACACGAAGAATCCCTTTTGGACTGATGTTTTAGAGCTCCATATTTATAAATCTTTACAGGAAAAATTAAAAAATATGTTTCGACACAAAAATACAGAAAAAGAGAGAAAAAGAAAATTCTCTTTATGCTCCTGGAAAGCTTTCTGCTTTTTTAATTGTACTGAAGTGCTAAAAATTGTGCAAGTCTACATATATAGGTGTATATTTTTTTAGGACGCAGAAGTTGAACTTTCTTAATAGGAACAACAAAAATACTTCTACTCTCAACTGTTTAATAATGTAGAATTTTTCCCAGAGAGTTCCTTAAATAAATTTTGAAGTATACTGTACTCTTGATGAAGAAATAACCGATTCAAATTAGAAGAAAGTAGGCATTCTGGAAAGTATCACACCACTTCCCAAACTGCTCACAGTGCAGTTTGTACTATTGTCCTTAGATGTTTGTGTTGCTGATACCATGAGTAATTGCAAATTCCTGCTTATGGTCTAAATAGGTTAAACACACACTACAATGCAAAACCGTGAGAGCTAAAAAGGGAAGGAATGGGGTAAGGCAATAATATTTTGGTCATCAATAAAAATTGATTTTGAGGGTTTGTGTTAACGTTTTTATACACTGAAGGCAGATGTAGGGAAATCTGAAGAGTAGATACCATAAGAGTGGGAGGCGCTTGTACCAATCTCTTGTCTTAAAGTCCTTGTCTTAAAAAATAATAAGGAAAGAAAAATGATGCCTGGCAGCAACAGAGTAGGGACATTGCACTAAGAAGTCTGATGATACCATATGCACAACACATGGCAGTCAGTTTCCTCTTGCTTACCCAACTTTGCCATCTATCACAGTTAAATGTTGACACTGCAGGTTGCACAAAGGGCATGTGAACATCAAAGGAAGTGTCTTTGCCTTTGAAAAACCCTTAACTGGTCTGCATACGAGGCAGCATTGACACAAATCTGTCAGCACAAAATCTTATTGCTCTGCCAACTTAACTAATGGTTTAATGTCCTGAAAGAACAAGACCAGAAGGAATGATAAAAATGTATCTGACTGGGACTGGGGGTTTTAATTAGCAGAAAGTTGGAGTGGAAATTGATTTGTCTCTTTGTTCTCTCTGTTGCAGAGAATCCCCTTCCATAATTGTGAATAATTCTCTCTTTTTTTTTTCTTAATTGATCTGATTTATCTCCTGATCTATTGAGTTGTTAAGAGTTTCAGATTCATTTTCTGGCACACAGTAACTGCGCCCATGACCCATGAATACACTTGCAGAAGTAGAAGGTGCTGATTCTTTAAAAAACTCAGTTGTCCTAACTACTTGACATCTGTAGTTCACCAAGATTTTCTGGATCTCAGCAATTTTCTGGATATAGTATATGGAATTGAATCCTAAAGATACAAAAGTTACCATGGCTAAGTAACTAAATTCCAGTCGAGAAAAGGATATCAATATTTAACATTGGTAATAAATGGGGAGAACCTTGCAGCTGACTGTAGCTCTTCATGTGTTAAGTTTATTAAGGACTAGTAAACATTATAGCATAAAACGTTATATATTGTTCATTAACTGTTTACGGTGAGTAATAAAGATACATAATTATTTCTCTGTAAAGAATTTTAAAAGCTTACTTAGGTAAATGAGATACCATCTGATGGTTTTCCTCAGTGATACACTAGCCTAGGTATGACATTTCAGTCGCTTTTGCTTATCTTTGTTATTCACAAGGCTGAGTTTGCACTGAGAAACATTTTATCTTTTATCAGACCAACTGACAGATTAAATGGACAGATTCTGCAGTGTGAAAAAAAGCTTGTGTGTGCGTAAGTTTATCTGTTTTTTCTTCCCCAAACCATCAGATACCTTTAAGAAAAGACACTAACTTTCTCTCTGACCTTGCCTCGGTTATATTTTTAGAGCACTGCAGATAGTCACTCATTAATTATTCAGGCATTATTGGACAGCACTGAATAAAGAGAACTCTGTGAAAACTCCTACTTGAGAAATGGTATGATTGATAAGTAAAGAAAAAAAATTCAAATTCTCCCCTATGTCAGCTCTCTTTAGGATTCCTTATTTCTTCTTTTTTTCATCTAAGAATATACTTCCTTCTTCTGAAGCATGAAAGCACTATTGCTGCCTAGGTGCCACATTCATTCTCGGTCCCTCTGTAACACCCTTCAGACCTCATTTTCCCTGACTGGAATGCTCTTCAATACAAAAGGCAAGTGTCACACCTCAGTAGGGATTAACTGGTCTTCACTTTTATGCTCATTGTCAGTAAAGACTCCATTGTATCTCTCCACTCTGAGTCTCGTATTACTGTATTACTTATTCCCTGTCATATGGATTTGATAGTATAGGTAAGGGGTTGTGAAATGGGACAGTGTGTGAGTTCACAACAGGATGGCAGACAGATATTCAATGAGAGCAATGAGCTGGGTTTTGAGCACAAACACAAATCAGGGAAGCTGCACGGCGATATACATTGTGGCAGAAGGCACAGAGGGACAGAACACAGAGGGGCAGAAAGCCCAGCTAAGAATTTAAGTGTCACTTTTGGAGCTGGTTCTTTCCATGATGCATGCCAGCATGGATCTTGCTAACATAAATTTCCCTTAGTTCATTAAGCAAATTAGTTCTAGAGAGTCCTTACAAACCCTGCCCCACCTCACTATGACTCGCATCATTACCTACCATCTTTGGCCCTGAATTGTCATCATTGCTCCTCATCCTTCCTAGTTCCTTACTGCTCTTGGATGTTATGACTTTTCTCAGCCCCTATTTCCCTGCTTGTATCTCTTAGTAATCATCCTGGTATGTGTACCACCAAGACAGCCGAGTATCCTGGATTTTCTGAGATTTTGTTTTATTCCTCATTTCTACTTCTGTTTTGAGGAAGAGGTGACGAACAATTTTGGCAGGATAGTTTTGGCATTACTTCCCTTCTAGCTACTAGTGTTGCCAGCTGGCATTCTGATTTCCCCCTTCTTTTAAACACAGCCAAGAGCAGCAGTAAGCTATGGCTCAGGTTTTATGGGCATTCACGTATGACATGCAGCCTCAAGAATCTACAACAGAACTATTTTTTTAAGCTTTATAGTAAGTCATTTTGGCATTTTTCTTAAAAGGCAGGATCTTGAATTCATGCGATTAAGTGGGGATATCACTGCTTATTTTAAAACAGGATGTTCCCAGTTTGTAGAGAGAATGTGAGCCAAATGCACTGTAAGGATGAAAAAGAAAGCAAAATAATTTCAAAGTTTTCTTTAAAAATCCCCCCAAAATGATGTCAGGAGCTGAGGAAGAAGCACTGACTGATGACTTTAAACTACTTACCTTGGCAATAGTGAGTTAGGCTGTTAGGCTTTGCTCAGCAGACTGGGCCGAGGGGACAGGATACCTTATTGGATTGAGCTGAAACCCAACCATTTCCCCTGCCCAGCAGAGCACACTCATAGAATCATAGAATAGGGTTGGAAAGGACCTTAAGATCATCTAGTTCCAACCCCCCTGCCATGGGCAGGGACACCTCACACTAAACCATGCCACCCAAGGCTCTGTCCAACTTGGCCTTGAACACTGCCAGGGATGGAGCATTCACAGCTTCCCTGGGCAACCCATTCCAGTGCCTCACCACCCTAGCAGGAAAGAATTTCTTCCTTATATCCAATCTAAACTTCCCCTGTTTAAGTTTTAACCTATTACCCCTTGTCCTATCACTACAGTCCCTAGTGAAGAGTCCCTCCCCAGCACCCTTGTAGGCCCCCTTCAGATACTGGAAGGCTGCTATGAGGTCTCAGCACTCCCATCATTTTTTCTCTTCAGTGCACTTCCCAGACCTATTTCTTGTTGTCCAGAAGCATGACTTAGTGAGCCGAGGTCACTAAGCTTCTCCAGCCTAGCATCCACCTGGCCCAGCATCCAGCAGCTCCCCTGGCTGGCGTGCTGTGCCTGTGTGTCAAGGCTGGAGGAGGGAAGGGGCTGTAGCCCAGAAGGATGTGCATGTTCGAATTGTGCCTCTGCAAGGAGGATGGACACTTGTGTAACCCCAGCTGCCTAAGGAATGTGAGGGAATGCCCTTGTGAAGAGGCAGTGAAGCTTTTACATGGGAAGGCCAAAGATACCGCAACAGAAACACTGAGGGGGGGAAATTAAAGTGTCAGTTTTGGGGTCTTAGCCTCACTTTGCCCTGAATGAGGACAAGGCAAGCTAGCCTGTGCACTGAGCCTGTGGGCTTCCAGTTTGTGAACAATGGTCTCTGCCTCCGCTTGGGACAGGTCTCTCAACAAGTGACAGGACAAGAGGTAACAGCCTCAAGCTGTGCCAGGGGAGGTTTAGATTGGATATTAGGAAAAACTCCACTGAGAACGTGATCAGGTATTGGAATGGGCTTCCCAGGGAAAGGTGGAACCGCTGTTCCTGAAAGTGTTCAGAAACCGTGCAGGTGAGGCCCTCAGTGACATGGCTTAGTGGTGGTCTTGGCAGTCCTGGGGTAATGGTTGGATTTGATCTTAAAGGTCTTTTCCAACCTAGTTGATTCTATGACTCCCAGGGAGATGTTCCCAGACGACCCGAACAGCTGGTGAGACAAGGCTGAACACAGGGGCTTTGGGTGAGGCCTGCAGCTCCCCATGGCCCACCCCAGGGCACCGGGCCCAGCCTGCTCCTCCTGGAGGAAGCAAAGCAGCGGCGTCCCCCTGAGTACAAGCACCGGTAAAGGGGCACTTCCAGCTTTATTCACGTTTGGGGCAATCGAACCGTGACTTCCAGCCGCCACAGCGACAGCTCCCTGCCGGTGGCACCTGGTTCCCTGCGGGCGCCTCAGGCCTCGCTCCGCCCCGGCAGCTCCGCCCTGCTCTGGCTCAGCTCCGCCCCTCGCATGCCGGGGCTGGCTCCGCGGGAGCGTCCGTTGGGTCCCTCGCTGCCGGTGGAGCCCCGGCTGCCGCCTGGCGCCGGGGCCGGCGCGAGAGGATGCGGCGGTTCGCGCGGGTGGCGCTGCTCTGCCTGGGCTGCGGCGTCTGCTCGCTGCTCTACGGCTTCAGCCAGCTGGCCCTCTCCCTCGAGCAGGAGCCCGGCGCCGGCCGGGAGCGGCAGGCCCGAGACCCCGCCGCGGACGGAGCTCGGCGGCAGGCGGGCGCCGGCCGGGAGGCGGCGGCGAGCGCGGGCCGAGGCGAGGCGGGGGCCAGCAGGTAATGGAGAGTGGGGGCCGGGCTGCGGCGCGGGCGGGGGGTGGTTGTCCCGCATTCCTGAGGGGAGGGCCGGGGAGACGCGGGAGCGCGCTCGCCTCTTTCCTCCCTCCTTCCCGCGGGCGGAGCGGGGCTCGGAGCCCGCCCTCGCCCCCAGCGGGAGCCTCCGGCTGCTCGGCGCCGTCCGGCAGCGTCCGGACGACGGCGAGGACGCGGCGCGGGCCCGAGGAAGCGCTTTGGGAGGGAGCGAGGGGGTGCCGGTGTGTGCCTCGGCATGCTGCCTGCCGCGGAACTGAGGGCGAAAAAGCCTTAAACCCAAACAGAGTAAACTTTAAAATTGGTGTGAGGGGCTAGGCGGTGGGCGCAGGCGGCACCCGCGGCGGGAGGGGTGGCTGCGCCGCTGCGGGAAGGGAGACATCGAGAGCAGGGAGTCTGTCCCACTGCTTGGGGAAGTGCCTGCGGCTTGCGGTTGTCCTGTGCTGAAGTCAGGGTGCTGCCCTGTTGGAACAGGGGCGTGGGTTTTCTTCTTCCAAGCTGAGAAACTTTCAGGCTGTTGCTCAGTTCTGAAACTTGGTATCTTCATGATCATCAGATACAACTTTAAACAAAAATACTTGCCATGGGATACTTCAGTCTTCTCACAGGGAATTGGGAGTTCAGTTCTGCAGTTAAAGTGGTGTAAATCTGAGCAGCTCACGCTGTGCGTAGCTGTGTGTTTCTGTTTCCTGCTCTTCCTGTCCGCAGAAATTTTCATGTGGTCAAGCAGCAAGTGAGATTATAGAATGGAAAAGTACTTGTTTTCCTTTAGATTTGTAGCTTCATGATGCTGTTCACTTGTGGCTACCAGAATGCTAGTGCCAGGAAAGGAGGAGTGACAAGAAACGTGTTGCTAAAGCTAGAGGAGAAATTAGGACCAGGCCTTTCTGGGCCAGCCTACCTGTAGCAGTTTAAAGCTGTGTTTGATGACTGTCCCTCCTTCCCAATGATGGACATGCTCTGGCACCCTGCATTCCTTACCCAGCCTGTACTCCTTTGGTCACAAGAAGTGTTGATCCAGCATGCTGACCTGCCTGAAAACTGCCTAGGGTTTGGCTAGCTCAGCACCCTGAACAGGCTCATCATGTAATTATGAAAGTGGTGTTGCTGCTGCAAAGGAGTTATGGAGGATGGCAGGATGACAGAGCTCTGACTTAATCATCATAAAATACCATGAAACAGCATTCCGAGTTGCTAGGGGTGGAGTCAGCTGAAATGTGAAACCCAGCTTTTGACTGGTCTAACTACTTCAGAGAATGTTGGGGGTTTTTCCTTTCATGCTTTTGTTTTAGTGCAGATTATGGCCTGAAAAAAAAGTGAGGATGCTTTGTTTCTCATGTCCAGATTATGATTAAAAACTTACTATGAGAAGCTGAAATGTGGTAGTCCTAAAAACATAATAACTGGAATTAACTTCAGTTAACTGTAACAGTTTTATGTGAGATTTCATTGGCTTAATAATCACAGAATCGTAGAATGGTTTGGGTTGGAAGGGACATTAAACCTCATCTGTTTCCAACCCCCCTGCCATGAGCAGGGACACCTTCCACTAGAGTAGGTTTTTCCAGTCCCTGTCCAACCTGGCCTTGTGAAGCATGGAATCAGACTCTATAACTCAGAGTTATAAAGGAGGTGTACTTATTACGGGCCTGGGTGCAAAGGGGAACACTCATCCTAACTTTCACACTGAGGGGTTAAGCAAGCAGGTATTTATTACACACAAACATGCATATTCATTAGGTTCCTGAGAGTTGGGAGGGGATATTACAATTAGTTTAGGTACTCATTATCATAAGTCTCCTCCCTTTTGGCGCTTGTGCACTGCCCTCCGATGGTCGTGGGCAGGGGTCTTCAAGATGAAGTCATCAGTCTTCCTCACAGTGCACTTTTCACCTTTGGCACAGTTGGATGCTCCAGTAGTCACAAAACTAGCTGAAACCAGCCATATCTGTAAGTTTCTGATAGCTGGCAAAGATTTAGAACGGTGTGACCTTCATACAAAATTTATTGCAAGCAGGACAGGATGGGCAGACAAGGAGCGTCCTAAGCTAGCAGATGTTCAGGAGGCACTGTCTCTAAACTAACTGATAATTAGAAGGATGGTAAGAAATTATTCACTCTTGTTAGTGAGACTACTAAATTCTGTTATCACACCACAGACTTACAACACAAACACTGTTCTCTTAGACCTAAGTTAAAAGTATCTTAACCCTATGTTTTCCAGGCACTTGCTTTCCTTGTATCACTTGAATACTGCCAGGGATGGGGCAACCACAGCTTCTCACCAGTGCCTCACTGCCCTTGTAAATCAGTTTTAAATAAAAATGCTTGGAAAAAATCCTATGTATGATATTTGTTTTACTAAAGAAAATATGCAGTTTACATGAAAAAAAACCAAACCTTTTGTTGGGTAAAAGACAATCTAAAGAATTTGTTTTTGTAAACATTGAAATTACTTTCAGGTGCATCATGCTCCTGGTTAGCAAAAGAAGAACCAAGCCTATTTTAAAAGCTATACTATTCTAATGTTTGTATAAAGTGTAGTTTCTAAGTCAGAGGAATTGGTGGGCAAGAACCCCATCAAGGTACAAGAACATTCTTACTTGCTGCAATGAGGTGAAATGAGATATAAATTTGCCCTGTGTTTCAATGTGGAAAAGCTTCACAAACAGAGAAAGTTATTTTCCCAAGGACTTGAGTGCCACAAATAATTCTTTTGCATACATTTTCATGAGATCCTATCTTCTTGTAAAATCAGTCTGTTGACACCTGTGTGGGAATTCTTTATCTATAAACTTCTGTCAAACTGGAGGCTCAGAATGAACATCATCCTGTTGTAAAGTACTGAAGTTTTATATGCTGTTTGTGCAAAACTCAGGTACGAGTCAGTCCCTTCAATTCAAGTCCTAAAAAATTTGTTTAAGGAAGAATTCTGTCCTGTGGCGGTTAAGAAATGCCCCACTGAATATTTCTTTAGATCCATACTTCAGTTATTCTCAAGCATGAAATCATGTTACACTCACCTGTGTTATTGATACACACATCTTTGTGAATGTATTGGGGGTTTTATACCTTTTATACTTCAGCTGTTTCTTTAGTGGAGTCTGAGCATGATAACCACATAGCTGTTTTATGTCCACTTCTGACCATCCTGTGATCATATAATATTCTAAAGACCTTTTAGAGTAAATTATGTTTGGGTAACCTTCTAGTCCTTCTGAAGTTTAACATTTCGTATGTGTTAATGGTAACTCTCAGTAATAGATTGCTTCAGCTGTTTTCACTGATAACTTTAAAATGCAGTTTAGCAAAGCAATTGTAACTGCCATCTGAAGGCATTTACGCACTCAGCAGTGATTTTCTTTTCTTTTTAGCCAAGAAGGGTTTTGTTTGCCTGAATAATCTAGTTATGTACATGACATAAGGGCAGAATGAGCTCAGTCATACTCAGGGATGGGAGAAGGAGAAGTTGAGTTTTCTGGTAGTTTTCAGAAGCATGCAAACATGAAAACTGCAAGCTTCAGAATACCACACCTGGAAGAATTTTGCAATAGTGTGATGTTGCTTATAAGTAGAGAATCTTTAATTAGAAAGGAAGTACGGTATTGAAACTAGAATTACAGGTTCAGGCAAGGTCCTCCAATAAACAGCATAATTCAGGGGATCTTGTTGGGTAATCATGTTGGTAAGGAGCTGTTTCAAAGGCTGCTGTAGCTTGAGTTACAGGAGGACAGGAAGCTGAAGGCTTGTGTCTTGAAACTTGACAGAAATAGCTGAAAAACTTTTCAAGAATTTATTAGCTAAATCCTAAGGTTGGATTTCAGCTGTGAAGGAAGATTAGTGTTAAAGGTAATCAGTCCTCCTGATTATTCATTCCAGTTATCAAAATAGTAATGAATAGTCATTACTAATAATAACTGTCATATAATAACTAAATGAACAATAGATCTGAACTTGAAAAAAGGAAATACTGAAGTGTCTACTTCCAGAAGATACAAAGTCAGTCAAAAGTCAGTATATGTAGTCACGCTTTTTTCTTTTGCTGTTGTGATTTATGGATGAAGAAGGCAGTTGTTAAGAAATGGAAAAAAGAGTGAATAAATGCATATTTGCTACATGTATGTCGCATAATAGCGCTATAATCTGCTGTCAGTGGAGTATCCTATCAAGTCTTTCCCCACATGCTTTCAGATCAGTTAATTAGCAGGTTGTGCTTATGAGAAGTGAATCTTCTGTTAATTTTATCAATATTACCACTTCATTTAGAGAGATAATGTTCATCTTTCTATTCAGGTCCAGGGAAAGTGCTATCCTGATGACAAGTTTGAGAAGTACAGCAGGAATCAGTCTGTCGTCAGTTCCGTGAATTCAGTGAGGTCAATGGATTTGACCCTATTACAATGAAACATTTTTTTTCCATTATGCTGTAGTTTAGCATTTTCAAGCAGCCAGCTATGCAGTTCTGTTGTGTGTGACACTGATATCTGACTGTACCTCTCTCTTGCTCTCTAACTGTCCTGGCAAAGGGAGAGTTAAGTGGATCATAGTGCTTGGAAAAGTGTAGGAAGTCTAGCCACAAGCTTAAGACAGCAGAGGGGGTTGGTTGTAATAGGTAGTTCATTCTTTCCTTGCACTGTAGGCAGCTGTTTTCTGTCTGTCAGAGCTTAGCCAGCAGTTTCACCAGCAGTTTCTTAGCTACTCTTGTGGCATAAGAAATTGGTCTAGAAACTGCCTAAGCACTTCAGAATAGGAGTAAAACTTTTAAAAGGATGAAACATTGAACAGTTTGAATCACAGAATCATAGAATAGTTAGGGTTGGAAAGGACCTTAAGATCATCTAGTTCCAACCCCCTGCCATGGGCAGGGACGCCTCGCTGTAGACCATGTCACCCAAGGCTCTGTCCAACCTGGCCTTGACCACTGCCAGGAATGGAGCATTTACCACTTCTTTTGGCAGCCAGTTCCA